CCCCAAAACCCCAAAACCCCAAAACCCCAAAACCCCATTTTATTGGGTAATAATGAAAGATATCAACTACTTTAATTTCTCAAATAAATCATGTCTTTCATAAAATTCCATTTTATCCACTAAATCTTCGTGAACTATAATGACACTCTTTTCTTTATCTTGGATGATTTCTGGTCTATAAAATATCAGAAGTCTGACTTACTTCTTTTTAGTGGTAATATCTTGCTTTTCCTCTTTAGTTTCTTCTTTCTTTTCCTCCTCTTTACTCTTCCTCTTTTTCTCTTTCTTTGCTTGTTTGTTGAGCTGAGTGGCTGGAAGAAAATTAGAAGTTAGTAAATGAAACTAAGTGAAATTGAATTTAAGATTGGAAGATTCTTGAGTGAAGAAATGATGGGAAGATTACCATTCCACTGTCTGACTAAGATACTTCCTCTCCTATAAATATCCTTCTCATTGTTGTAATTGACTCCAAATTTGTGCATTATTTCATGCTTATCTTTACTGAAAGTTCCCTTGAGATCTTCATGAGCCTGAGCTTGCTTTTCTTGGGATGTCTTATCTTCTAAAATATTATGATTTAAATACCATCTGAGTTGTTATGCACTAGAAGCCAGAAAGTAGTATTGTATAGATTGTTCACGTGGCAATCAGCCTGTCTCCACGAAAGATAATCCATTAGATTTTCAATTGTTGGATACAGGATTATCCTTGCATCAAAAGTAGGAGGGTATTCAAGTTCTTGGTCTGGGAAGAACTTTCACCAGTTAAAAATATATGCAGATGTGAAATGAGAGACCATAGTTGACAAGATCTTATCCTCCCTTCTGCTGTATGTTGTGGCTGATTTATTTCAATACAAAACTATATTCATCAGACTGTCCATATCCAATTATGATCTCTGTAAACGCTTTCATCAGTGATAAAGCAGCTCAATTCATAAGTTCAATTCCTCTGTCATCATTTGGTTTCTCAAATCCATGAGCATTAGTAAATTTTGAGAATCCCTTCCCATCGATCCTGACTACAATGAATGTATTCTTCAACAAATCATGTGGTTGCTCGAAGTGCTTCACATATTGAAATTTAGAACATGCCATTTTAAAATTTATTCTAACCTCAATACAAAACAACACTGAAGGGGTTTTGGGGTTTTGGGGTTTTGGGGTTTTGGGG